AACTGTCACAAACCGCGCCTCGTCATCCAAATTGAGGGGCTCCTCCACCCGCACCTTGATGGCTCCAGGCACCACAGGCTCCCGTCCATGCAGCAGCTGGTAGGGGGAGAAGCCTGCCAGGGATCGCTGCATGCTGAAATTGTACCCCATGGACACCCATGGCAGGTACAGGTTCCACTCATCCGCTGGGTGACCGAGGCACCATTTACGCAGCGCTCGCTTCACCACCTGAACAATCCGCTCACTGAGCCCGTTCGCCTGCGGGTGATGAGCGGAAGTGGAGCGGTGATCAATCAGCGCCGCATCCAGACAAGCTTGGAATTCAGCGCCAAACTCCCCCCCCCTGTCTGTGACCACCTCTGCACACGCTCCGTAGCGCGTCAACACCTCCCGCGTGAAGTCCTCTGCCACCGGGGCCGGCTCCTTGTCACCCGTGGGCGCCAGCACCACAGTCTTGCTGAAATGCTCGACGAGCACCAGCACATACTGGCTGCCCTTGGCTGTCTTGGGGAGAGGCCCTGCAAAATCAAGCCCCCACCGGTAGAACAACCCCTTAATGGGGAGGGGCTGAAGCGCGGGGTGCTTGGCGTTGAACGTGGCGCGCACACGATCACACGCCTCACACCCGCGCACCGCACGCTCCACCTCCGTCGCCAGCCCCACCCACCAGTAGTGCGGCCGCAGAAGAGACAGGGTCTTGCGCACCCCCAGGTGCCCCGCGCGCTCGTGGACATCTCGGACTAGCCGCGCCCGCGCCTCAGGCCTGGGCACCACGCGTGCCTCCCCACTCACCAGCCGCCTGACCAGATGATCCCCCCGCCACTCGTAGCCCTGAGCCCTGTGACGCCGCCGGTCACGCTCTTGGGGGCTGCCTCCGACCGCTGGGCCCCTCCCTTGCAACAGCGCCAGGAGCCCCGAGTCCTCCCAGACATCCACCGGTGCCTGCACCTCCGTGCCTGGCCTCCGCGCCGCCTCCCCGACCTGCTGCTCTCCTGGCTGCCAGGACAAGCACGCCGCAGCTGACCATGCCAGCATGCCTGCTGCCTCCAGGTCGGCTTCCTGGCGCACCCCCGCACTGTCCACCGTGCTCTGCCGGGGGAACCTGCTGAGACAGTCCATTTCGTTGTCAACCCCCGGCTTGTGCTTGACTTCAAAATCGAACTCACTTAGCATGAGCGCCCACCGCGCCAGCTTCCCAGTAAGCTTGGAGTTGGTGAGGATCCACTGCAACGGCTGGTGGTCGCTCTCCAGCTGAAACCTCTCCCCATACAGGTACTGGCGCCAGAGCCGCACAAAGTAGACCGCAGCTAGCAGCTCTCCCTCGAAGCTGCTGTAACGCGACTCTGCTTGGTTGCAGCTGCGGCTTCCGTATGCCACCACCCGCTCGACCCCCTCCTCATCTTGCTGCAACAGGACCCCGCCCACGCCCTTCTTGCTCAAGTCGCAGCGCACCTTAAACGGCCGCCCCCTCCGCGGCAACACCAACACCTGGCCCCCCTGCAGTGCCCCCTTCAGGGCCACAAACGCCTGCTCCTGCTCCTCCCCCCAACACCAAGGGGCCCCCTTCTTGGTTAGGGCGTTCAACGGGGCTTGCAGGCGGCTGCAGTCGGGGATGAACTGGCGGTAGTAGTTCACCACCCCTGAGAATGCCTTCACCGACGTCACATCAGTTGGCCGTGGCAAGGAGGCGATGGCAGCCACCTTTGCCACCTGTGGCGACACCACCCCCGGGTGCAGCCACATCCCCAAGTACTCCACCGAGTCTGCCCCGAAGCAACACTTCTCCGGGTGACACTTGAGCCCCACCTCGCGCAGCCGATCGAACACGCGCTGAACCAGCTCCATGTGCTCCTCCAGTGTCTCCCCTCCCTCTATCAGCAGGTCGTCGATGAAGTTGCGCGCAAACCCCTCGAACCCCCTGAGCGTCCGGTCTATCGCGCGCTGGAACCAGGCGCTGGCGTTGCGCGCTCCAAAAGGGCACCGCTTCCAGCAGTAAAGCTTACTGCTGGACCAGAACGCCAGCTTCCTGCGATCTTCCTTCCTCACCACCAGCTGGTGAAACGCCCCGCGTATGTCGATGGTGGAGTAGAACTTGGCGTGGCCCAGCCCCTCCAACACCTCCTCTGGCAACGGCATTGGGTAGCGGTCCTGCGCCGTCTGCTCGTTCACCCTCCGCAGGTCTGTGCAAAACCGTGCCAACTTCCAGTTCCCGTCCGGATCCTTCTTGGCCGCCACCACCGAATTACCCGCGAAGTCTGAGTCGCACTCCTCGATTATGCCCGCTGTCTCCAACTCCCGGCACCTCTCGTCAACCAACTCCCACTCCCGCGCGCTGTGCTTCCGCCGACGCTCAAAGATTGGTTGATCCGTTTTTAAATCCAACTGGACTTCAAACAGCTTGAACTGCCCAATCTCCTCCAGACTGAACGCGAACACATCGCGATTCTTCTCCACCACCCCCGCGGCATACTCTTTTTCCTCATCTTTCAGTTGCGACCCCACGACCCAGCCTTGCTTCATCTTACTCCCTCGTGGCGGCTCAGCCCCTGCTTCTCCAACCCCTGCCTCCAGCACTCCTGCCCCTCCGTTCACTGAGGGAGCTGCGCTTCCACTGCACACCCCTGTCTTCGCGCCCACTCCCGGCCCTGCCGCTCCTGGCTGCGCCCCCCCCGCAGCGGCACACACCCTGCCGGCACCAGAGCGCGAGGCTCCAGCGCCAGCTCCAACGCCGGCAGCAGGCGCCACTCCAGCTCTGGTGCCAGCACCTGCAGCTCCGCCGCCAGGGCCACCGCCACCTCCAGCGCGCGCCCCTCCAGCTCCGGCGCTCCCTCCGGCGCTAGCTCTGCCGCCAGCGCGCGCCACCGCAGCTCCACCGACCGCTCCAGCGCTCCCGCCAGCGCCAGCTTCAACTCCGCCGCCAGCGCCACCTCCCGCTCCGCCGCCAGCGCGCAGTTTGGGGACCTGCTGCCCCGTGCCTCTACCCCCTCCCAGCCGGTTCAAACGCAGCGCGGCTCCTTCCTTGCAAGCTGCTAGCAGCCACAGCAGGGTATTGAGATCCATTGCCTGGCCTAGGAGCTCTCTGCGCACGCCCTCCGACGTCCCAGGCGCGGCGGTGAATCCACGAGGAAAACCCATGGCTAGTTCTCTCTCGTCGGCCGTTGGCTCCCCAAAGCTGACGGCACCGGTGGGAGCCTCACACCGGATAACGGCCCCGCCCCCGCGGGAGAACGCGTATGATCCGGGGTAGCTGACGAAAGTGTTTAGGGCACGACGCGGTTCCCCCACCTTCTCCACTTTTGCCCATGGCGCCGTCCCCTGTCCTGACGGCGGCTTGGCCTTCCTCCCAGGCCCCAAGACCTGGTGCACAAACAGTCCAGGGTGACGAACCTGTTGTGCCAGCGCTGCGCGCAGCAACGCAGGCCCCTCGAGGTTTGTCCACCAGGCACGCAGACGGTGCGCTCGCGACCCGACCTGGGCGGCGTCTACTACGAGTTCTGGCCCCAGCAACCCGCGCGCCGCCTCGTAGTGTTCCCGCACCTTTGGCCGCTTGTCAAACCCAGCGGCTACGTGCTCCACTATATACCCAAGAGGCTGCCCCCAGCCCTTGTGCAGGCGTTGCATGCACGCCAACACCCGCAGCAACTCTGTCAACAATCCTGAGCGACCGTCGTCAAGCCCCTGCCCCGTACCCGCGGCGCTGTTACCCTGGCACGGCCACCCTGCCACCACCAAGTCTACTGGCTCCAGCTCTCGCAGATGGGTTTCCGTGACAAGCTGGATGTCCTGGGGCAGGTGATGATGCATTTGCGCCGAGGCTCGCGCTGAGATCCGAGCGGGGAACTCCTTGGCCAGCTGCAGCACCTGGTGCCTGTGCACGACCCTTGCCGCCCCCCTGCGTTCACACGCAATGACCTCCCCAACAGAGTAACCAAGCCTGACCACCGCCTGCGTGACGGCTCCAACCCCCGCAAACAACTCAACGACCCTTAGCGGCCGGTCTGTTGGTAGTGGTCCCACCACTCGCCAATCCAACGGTGCACATCCCTCCAGCTGTGGGATGCGCACCCGCTGCGGTAGGCCGACCTTCCCCATTGGTTGCTGCACCGCTGCGCGCACTGCGTGACGTGCCTCCTGCACCACGTCGACTCCTGGCCCTCTTGGCCACCGCCGTCTCTCCCAACGCTCTACCCTCTCACTGCGACCCTCCTTGCCCCCCACCCCTGTTCTGGGGGCCCCTGGAACCCCCCTTTGGGTGACCATCCGTCACCCCCGGCCCCAGGTCCCCCGGGGCCTGTCACCTTGTGAGGCAGCACGCCAGCGCTGCACTTGCCTGGCTGCGCTGGCCTGCTCTTGCTGTGGACGCCGCGCGGGTCCGGTGCAGACGCATGGGCAGAACACCCAGCTTCTGCCCTGCCCCCTCCCAATCAGCCCTGTACACTGCCTTCTCCTGCCACCTGTCCACCGACAGGCCAGGAGGGTAGGCAGCCCTCGTGCCCACGAGCAGGTCATACCCGGTGGAGTCGGTGATGGCGAGCCTCTCGTAGAGGGTTAGCTCCTCCGGCGTCCCCGCATTAAGGACAATCGGCACCGGCCTCTTGGTTAGCCCCCCCTGCAGCGCCTCAATCCTCCCGGTTGCAGTGTGGACGCGATGCCCCACCGCGTCCATGTCCTTTTGGCGCAGCCCCAGTTGCGCCTTTAGCTTTGCTCCCGCCATGGAGTAAAAGTTGCCGCCGTCTATGAGGACCCTGTGTGGCGCCACCAACCCGCGCGGGGTCACCACCTGAACCGCCCGCTGCGCATTATCCACCCAGTCGGGACTCTTCTCGACTGTCCCCCTCTGCTCCGGACTGACCATGGGCTGCCCCTCTGCGAAACAGGCCATTGCCTTGGTGTGGGCGTAGGCAGCGTCCACCAGCTGCTTGGCGCCCGTCTCCTCAGTTGCCTGAAGAGTTACATCAGCCACCTGCTCAGCTCCCCGCCACTGTCCCGATCCCAGCTTCCGCTCCCACGCCAACCCACGCTCCAGGTCCTCTTTCAGACCAGCGGGGGATCCCTCCCGCTGCTTCCCCTTTCCCAGCACCGGGGCCTCCGCCGTCGCTCTCTCCTGCACCACTGGACCCGGGCCCATTTCTTGTGCCGCCAGCACCTCCTCCCGGTCCACCCCCCGCTCCTGCGCCTCTCGCGCAACCAGCTCCATAGCAAGCTCCGCATCACGACTGGTGGCAACCGCCTGCTCCTCCCTTGCCCTCCGCGCTCCTTCTTCCTCTGCTCTTGCCAGCTCGCGCGCCACCTGCGCGTCTGCCGCCACACGGCCTCCTCTCGCCCTCTCTTCCGCCATGCGCGAGCTCTCTGGCTGATCCTTCGGGAGGCTGGCCCGCTGCCTACCCTTCTCTCCCACGACCTGCGCCCAGCTCACGGTCTGTGGGGCCTGCCCTGCTAGCCCCTCACTGCGCTCCGCCAGGCTTGCTTTCCGTGCGCGACGTGCTTTTTCTGCAATGGGGGACAGCACAGCGACCGCAACCCCCGCAGCCCCACTTGTCCCTCCGATTCGCGGGACCGAGCGTGCCCCACCTGGCGCTGTCATCTCAATGACTGCGGCCAAGTCAAGCCCTGCCCGTTCTGCCAAGGCAAGGAGGGCGCCCAGCTCCACCGTCACCACCCCCTTGAGTGCTGGCCCCGGCTCCTGAACGGGCCCTGTCCACCCCCCGCTCGTGGTCCCAGCCTGTTGCACTACTTCCGCCTCCGAGCTTCCTTTTGCCGCAGAGAATCCTGCCGCGCCGGCCACTCTGCCCAGCCCCTCCGCTGCTCTTCCCGGCGCTGCACCCCCCTGGACCGCAAACCCCTTGGGCAGACGGTTGAGGCCTTGTGGCGCCACGTGGCGGCCGTGGTCTGGCAGCCTGGCGAGCCGCTCCTTGGCGGCCGCCTTGTCCCTGCGCGCTTTGAGCGACTCCACCGCAGCGAGGTCCACCGGCTGAGCAATTTGAACCGTCCCCACAGCCTCCACCGTGGCCTTCCCTGCACGCTGCGGTGGAGACAAGACACCCCCCCCCGTTGCCGGCTTACCCCGCGCCGCTCTCGTTGCTCTTGCCTTCTCCGCGCCGGCCCGCGTGCCTGCTGCCGCCATCGCCACTGCGGGCCCGCTCCGTTGGGGCAAGGGAAGCGCCACGGCCCCCAGCCCGTACTCTAGCTCATCCCACCCGCAGTCATCATCCTCCTCCTCGATCTCCGCCCGTACCGCCAGCGCCGCCTGAGACATGGCCCGCCACTCCTGGAAGGCCTTGAACTCCTCTGCGTCGATGCCTCCCCCTGCGCTAGGTGCCGTTGCTGCCACAGCCGGCGCCGCCCGCTTAGCACACTGCGCAGCGAGATGAGTGGTTTCCCCGCACACAAAACAAGCACGGGGGCCGCGGCCGCCGCCTCCCCTCCCTCCTGCTGCTTGGCCCCTCCCCGAGCTGTTACGCCGCGGGTGCGGACACCCGTTGCGGTAGTGTCCCACCTCACCGCAGTTGTGACATGCCCCCGATCCTCCCTCTGCCGCCGGTGCTGCTGCTCCCAGCTGCGGTGCCGCAGGTACCACCGCTGCGTGCGCTGCCACCGCCGGCTTCCGCCCCCACTGCGCCCTGGTCGCTTCCACCGCCTTCGGAGCAAGCTCGCGCGCGATTCGCAGCCGAGAGTTGATGGACTGGACCCTCAGCGCCGCTTCGTACGCCTCGTCTAGCGTATAAGCACCCCCCGGCTCCTTGGTCGCAGCCATCGCCTGCGAGCTGGCCTGCTCAGCAAACCGCCTGTCCAAGCTGGTCACGAACTTGGTGACAAGCTCCTGGTCTGCGTCTTGCTTGTCCAAGTCCTCCGCCAAACCCTTCAGCCTAAACAGCAGCGACGGGAGCTCCTCCCCGGGCTCACGCCGGAACTGCACCCATTCCTGCACCTTGCCCTCCTTACGATCCTCGAAGTGGCGCTTGAGCGAAGTCAACAGCGCCCCCACCGGGTCCAGCTCTTTGCAATGCTCCTCATACTCCCGCTCGTGCGCCAGCTTCGCGGGGTTGTCGAGAAACTCCCCGAGATAGATGCAATATCTCCCGTTGAACTCGACCCCTTCCACCGGGTTTCCCACGTCCTTCTGCAGCTTTTTGAAACGATCCTGCAGGCTTCCCTTGACCATCACCTCAAACTGCTTCAAGGTGAGTCCCTCACCCCTTTTGCCAGAAAACCTCTGACGCCCCTCCAGGCCCGCACCCGACGCCATCTCCGCCTCTTCCTCCTCCCACCAGCCCCCCTGGCTTGCCTGCGCCGCTTCCGCGCCTTGCTCCTCCCCGCCTGAGCCCTCACTCTCCCCGTTCGCCCCTTCCGTACTCTGCGAGACTGCTTCCAACACTTCCCGATAACGCGCCGCTAGCTGGGACCTAGTCTCCACTGGCATAGGCGGAGCCCCTCTTCCTAAACCCTACCGCGCTCACCCTGCAACCAGGCCACCGAACCCAGGCCTCCCGTTCCTCGCTCACCACGTCCTCCGGCGGATCCTCTCCGATGAGAACCAACCACCTAAGTCGCCTGCACACGTGCCACAGCGCCACCCAACGATGCTGTGCACCCACCGACGCCTTCTCTGCAATCGCCTCTAGCAGTGAAAACGATGGCGCAGAGGGGATGGGACGAGGGGGGGCCGCTCCCTTGGGGGAGGCTTGTAAAAGGGGCCATTTTGAGCTTGGAAACTGCAGGATCCAAGTAGATCCTTGACGAAACTCAGATAGCAATCGGGGGGGAGGCGACGAAGTCAGACAGAGGCAGAACGCAAAGCAGAAAGCGGACTGCGAAAGATGCGGATAACAACGAGGACGCGACCAACTGCTTATGAAAAGTAAAGTCAATACTGAAATTCTCGGTTTGAAGTCAAATGCTTCATATTCATGTGGATCTTCGAAGGCTGGGTGGCTTGAATCACAATGGCCCTCTCGTCTGCGTCAGCATGACATAAAGCCAACACTGTCATCTTCGCAGATGGCGCAGGATGCACTCTACAAAGTTGGGACGTTCCGACTTCAAACGAGCTCTGCTTACGCGAACAGACTGCTATAAGGCAACCGAGAACTCTTCCCACGGTTCTATTTCCGAGCCATTTTTTAGATCACAGGCTTCAAGGCTTGCAGCTCCACACATTTGATTCTCAATTGTACCAGAGATGCTTCTCAAATGGCCGGAGAAGCGCGTTAATCTCCAGCAAAGATCAAAGAGCACCAAAATCATAGGGGCAGAGAGCCATAGGGAATGGAAAAAAATGCCATGAAAGGAAATGAATGGATGGCGAATCACTCCATTGCAAGCATGACGATTTTGACCAGCGTACCTTCTCAACAGTGAGCAGCCGTCCCTCAAAGGCTTTGCCGTTGACCCTCCTGACAACAGCGTCAGCGTCTTCACGCGTGGCCATGGTGATGAAGCCGAAGCCGCGCGACTCCTGGGTCCTTGGGTCTCGGACAATGCGCGCATCGGCAACCTGCGAAATGTTCGGAAAGGGTTCAATGATTGAATCCCTACTCTTTGCAACTGTTGTTTTTGGTCGTACTTGTGTGGGGCAGGTCCAGAAGCTGCGTGCCCACACTCTCGCCCGCCAGCTTCAGTCTAGGTCTCCAATGGCCCCTCCCGTGAACGGTGATCTCAGCTGTGCCCCGCTTTCTTCCGCCAGGCTCTGCTCCCGACTCTCCCGCGCGCGCTCTGTCCGGCACCAGTGACAGGGAAACTCTTGCCTCTGCCCTGCGTTCCCCACTCGCGCTGTGTCCACCCGGTCTGCGACTTCAAACTCTGCGAACGCCTCGTCTTCCTCCGAGGCGTCACAGATGACGCAATCCGTGAGGCACCCACTCTGTGACAGCGGCCAATGGTCAGCAGGGTTTACTTCAAACCCAAACTGCTCAGCTGCCTCCTGGTTGTTTGCCAGGAAGTTCACCCACAGCTTCTCCCGAGGCAAACCAACCCACTCAGCTGCGAACGCCTCCCACCTCTGCAGAAACACGCTGAAAGCCCTAAAGTCCTCACGATCCATGCACTACTGTCACCGCAAGCTGTGCTTCTAGGTCACGGCAACGGGGGAACTCCGTAAGGCTTAACACACGCAACCAGTGCTTCTTGAATAATCAAGCTCAGCACTGGTGCCCAGCAGGCACGGTCTCCCGCCGCTGAGCGATGGGCCGAAACCCTTTACGCGTGTGCAGCCCCCCACAAAATACCGATCAGCGAGACCACCCCTAGCCTTAGATAAGGCCGAGTGGCCTGCCTCCTACTGCGACTCGCTGGCTACAGAGCACTGCTCGCACTACCGTTGCCAACAGCTATGCTACCAGGCCAAAGCAAAGGGGGAACTCCACAAGGCTTACGTGGCGACCAACACTTCTCGAATAATCGAGCTCAGTGCTGGGCCCCGGCAGGCACGGTCTCCCGCCGCCAGGATTTAGCCCGGAGGCTTTACAACGCACGCAGCCCCCCCTAATACCTATCAGCGAGAGCGCCCCTAGCCTTAGATCAAGACCGAGCGCCCTGCCTTCCTGGTGCACCTCAGCGACTAAGGCCCAGTGCCCTTGCCCCGATCTGACAACGGTGGAACACTGCCACCCCTGCCCTAAACACGCAGTCTACCCCTGCGCCCCAGCCTCACAGGCTGCTCCCCAGGCTGCCTCACAGGCCGCCGCACTAAAACAGCTCTTCACTAGAGCAACCTTGCGTAACGCTACGCAGTCTCTGATCCCCACCTCCGGCCTACACCCAACATGTCCCTTGATTCTTTCTTCTGTGAATATCCTGCGCCACGTCCACGCTTCACAGAAGGACCATGAGTGTGACCAAAGCACATGACTCACATTATGCCGCCATTACACCGTTGCATGAGACTTCCTTCAGGCCATTGCAAAGCTCTCAGGGACCACCGTAGAACACCCTTGCAAAGCCTCTGAATGAACAGAAGAAAGAATGAAGCATGAAGCTTCATTCTTTCCCTAGTGGTCATGTCCTGTCCCTAGACTAGGTGCAACCTCCTGCAATATTAAATTTCTGCATTTATGTCCTCACTCTAGTTACACAGTGACTTAACAGTAACTAGTAACTCAACCGGACATAAATACGGCATGACACCATCCAGTCTGACAAAACCTTGCTGCATGGAATTAAGTTTTCAATCGCATCAACATACGTATTTTTCATGCCTCTCAATGTGATCAAAGTATTCATATCATGTAGGTTTTATGAGCGAAGCAATGATGATGGAACTACGACCAAAATATATGAACCATGCACCCTATCTTCCGAGGGCGGATTGTCTCCACCGAGGTGCACCCATGTGATACTAAAAGATGTAAACAAGACTTCGCATGGCAAACAAAAGCAGGCAGACATCGTGTATCCGCACTTGGCTGTTTACTTCTGCCACAGCCTAGTAACCGAGCTTCTGAGTGTGCTGATTGACCGGACATACATGCTTTAGAAGGCACCGTTTTGGCAACGACAGTATTACATTCGTGTTGAGAAGCGCCTCAAGACAAAAACTGCTTGTTTTTAAGAGTTCCTTGACCGCAGATCAATGTACAAGCAAGGGGATGCCATCATCACGCTCGGTTCTCGTTGTGTTCCTGCAAGAAGCGACGTAAAATTTGGTGATGGCTTACTTTCGAGATTGGATACCGGCCATCCATTTAGTGACCATATGTTTGCACTGTTGGCACAAACGAATCAGCAGAGTTTGCTTGTGCTTGAACACTTCGAGGCATGAGAGCGATGCCTGTCGCAGCTCTGCCTCAAACAGTGCATGCGGGACCGCTGAAAAGCAGCCCAGCTTTGATATGTCAACTGGGTTAATCGCCACTCGTGGGGACTCAATCGAGAGGCGCTCTATCACAGTGACATAGAACTGTCTGGCATTCTATCACAGGACGCCTGCTGCATGCCCAAAGCGCCAGAGTGGTTTCATTTTCAAATTGACTTCACGAGAAATCCTTGGAGCATGTAAGCCTTCTGCAGCATTCGCGCAGCAAAAAGGGACGACTAAGATCGCCTTTGAGTCGCGCGGACTTCAAGGGCAAAGTCCATAGACAATAATACTCTGATCTGTAGTCCGCCAGCAGCGCAAGAAGCTTCAAGTCCGTTGCCTGACATACCCTTGAGCCACTCACTCGATCAACACACTCGAAAGGACTGGAATACTGTAGCCGCGTACCTGTTACCTTCCCTGAAAGCTAGGAGTCGTCCTGCCTCCATACCATTTCCCACTCAAGTTCGCGAGCGCCTCTCGCATCCATCCTCCCGCCTCTTCCCATCGAAACGCCAACGTCTCGGCCGTTGATTGGAGGTACAAATCTGTGCGCTCATTGCAGGAAGTCTCTGCGCGGCAGCATGCTGCACATAGTCGCTACTAGTATGCCAGCTGCCGGACACTAGCTGTTCTCTAACCCTTCCGACGAAATCTCACACGACGCAAACATCATTTAGTCTTATCATCGCCTGTTTCCAGCGTCGTGTTCTGCAGTAGCTTCGCTCCGCTTCCCTGTTCCGTCTCTCCGTTCCGTTGCCCCTCTTCCGTCTCCCCATTCCGCGTTTCCTCTTCTGTCTCGGCGCCGTCCATAGCCTTCCCCAGCGGACTGTCCGAACTCCTGACGCTGCCGGGGCTTCCGGACGTTCTACGGACCCGATCCGAGCTCGGACTGGGGCTCGCGGTCTCCCGGGGGCTCGACAACCCCGCGCGCCGCACCGCAAGCCGCTCCCGAAAGTCAAGCGACTTGGGCGTCGACACTTTCCGCCGCTCGGCCAGCCCCTGCGGTGATGAGGGGGATCCCTCCCCGTCCCGCACGAACTCCCCGCTCTTCCGCCGCACGCGCACCATCAGATCCTTCATCGGCGTCCCCAGGTCTAGTTCCTCCAGCCGCCCGTTCTCCGTCTTCCCGTTCGCTTCGCCGGGCCCCTCGGTGCCCAAAACCGTACCGTCGTTCTGCGTCGGCTTATTCCCGGACGGGAAGCTCGTCCGCCGCGACTTCGGTTTCTCCGGCCGCGGTACCGACTCCACAGGCGGCTCTCCCGTTCCAACAGTACGCCCCGCGCTCTCTCCTTCTTTTTCCGTGCCCTCCGAAGTACTGTTCGTCCCGCTTTTCCCAGCCCCACTCGTCTCCTCCTTCGGCTGATCTTCCCCCTTCTTTTCCGCCCCGTTGCGCGGATCCGCCTCGCCTCGCACCGCAAACGTGCTCCCAAATCCAACCTTCTTCTTCAGCTTCTCCGCTTCGCTCGCGGCCGCCGGTTTGCCCTCGTCCGAGCTCTTGCGCAGCGCGGCGCGCCCGCGCCCTAGTTGTGACACGTCGACATCGAGCATTTTGAACGGCTTGCTGCCGCGGTCGAGGTTCTTCATGTTTTGCAAGAAGCGCGGGACCTTGGGGGCTTCGCTCGCGGCGGGCTCGTCGAGGGGCTCGTCGCCTGCGGTGCGCCGCCGGGAAGGGCTGCCCGTGAGGGCCGGGGGAGAGGAGCTTTTGAAGGTCAGAGTTGGCTTATCTGCAAAAACAAGAGAAACAAGACTGGTCAGTCAGACTATTATCTAATGCAAGCAGTGTATCGAAGTAAACCCAAGCGGAGCAAAGCGAAGCGTCTGTGCAACTTTACGCATGTGAGACGCTGACTTCAATGTAGGACAAACCCCCAAGAGAATAACAAACCCCTCCACCTGAGCGGCACGTCTGTACCGTCCATCCAAACTCAAATCTGGTGCTCCGCGCTACAAAACACTTCCAAGTATTGCACGACTTTGCATTATCCCTCAGCTTCGCATGGGGCTGCTCCGCATTCCTCAAGACCAGATTTGTCAATAACTGCTCCTGTTAACCGGGAAATCCTCCGCACCCAACTGCCCACAAGTGGCGAGAGGCGAGTGGCGAGCTTAGCGAGTCGCAAGCTTACTTGGTGACGGTGGCACGTCGGCCTTGTTCTTCCCATGCCGCTCCTTCTCCGCCCGCTCCTTTTCCTCCTTTTCTTTCTTCTTCTTCTCCGCCTCTTCCTGAGCCTTGTTGTCCTCCACGGCCTTCTGGTAGTTGTTCATGAAGTCGACCAGCACCTTGCACACTGCACGAGGGATAATATAATTCTGACATCCATGTTTGCCAGCCGTTTTCGAGATTGATGCAGAGATTCTACAACCCACTTATGCCCTCTTCAGCTGACATGTCTAAACCCCCCGCAGATTGTTACCCAATGATTTGCAGCCCTTCTTAACATTCACAGTTGCGCTTTACAGAGTCCTGTGCCCATAAAAGGGCGTGATGAAAGAGAGCAGTAGACATAACTCGGTAGACAGCGCTTGGTACATGCATTACTTAGAAGACACCTACGTTCCGGACTGCGTCAATGATGAGTCTCCTTTCACATCTTTCTATGCGCAATTGTTTGTGGCTTACCATCTTCGAACGGCTTTCTCGTCGGGTCCTCCCCAAAGTACCTAACAACCAAGTCTGCCGTCTTATCCTGCAAAGAATTCACAGAGGCTGTTTTGCACTCCTGCTTTGATTAGCCCTGACCTCTTCACGACAGTTTCAACAGTGCGCACGGACAAGGCAGAGCAAAAGCATATTGACCGCTCGAGGAGCTAGAACGCAAAGCGAGAAGCTACATCTTGGGGAATGCATGGCACCAACGAACGCTTTCAGGGGGAGAGCTTCCAAACAAAGGATACGGGTCGCATACGGGCAGCATGCATTGTGAGACTGGCGGGACCCTGCCACATACCATCTCCCTGTAGAGCTCGTTCAGCTTCTCTTCCTCCCCCTTGGCTCCGTCATAGAACTCCCGCAAAACCTGCGAGAAGAGCGACCTCCAACACTTGAAGCACGGTCTTTCTTGAACACTATGCACTCCTCACACACTCTTCACGCTCCTGAAGCTTTTGTGACCAAATGGCAGTCAGACCCCCCAACAGGTGGTTCACTTCGACCCGACACTCCGCGACTGCTCGTTAAAGTGCATTCTACGCCAGCTGTGCCGGTCTGAGTGGATCAGACCCAACGTGCGGGACTCATATACTTTCGCAATTGTTCGTCGTCCAGCATCAAATCTGCAACTTCTGGCACAGTAATCAGCACAGCATGTCGAAACCAGCACCAAACAAACAAAGGTATGCCAATTTTCAGCCGGAAGCCTACCTTTGAGAACGCCTCGCTGGCGGGCCCGTCATTCTCAGCGGCCGCCAGCTCCGCCTCCACTTTCTCGAGGCCCTTGAGCACGGCTTGCCGCTCGTCCAGAAGCGCTTTCAGCTGCACCTTGGACGCAGGCTCCAGGTGGGACAGCTCCTTGTAGAACTCGGCCAGGTCGGGCATCTTTTGCAAAGTCTGTTACGAGGAAAAGATCGAGTCATTGTTTTGCGTGTTTCAATATTGGACAACTTTCCGTGTTTGGTTCTGATGATGTTAGGAGTACTCCGTGTGTGGATGTTGGTAAGACAGAAAGTTGTCAAAAGGATACAGCTCCTTGTAGAACTCCGCCAGGTCGGGCATCTTTTGCAAGGTCTGCGGAAGGCAGACAAGGAAGCGCCTGTTTCTACAGAGATCGTCGTGCGACAAGAAACAACTTTCACAGTGTTGACAAACTTTTGGCACGGGTACCTGACCAAGCCCAGACGACTTGTAAACGAATTTCAGTTTGAGACTGATTGGAACGACAGCTAGTTCAGCCACTAAAAAACTTCGAACATCAGCACTCAAGCACTTTCCGCATAGCTGTAATCTGCATCGACATTGCAGCAGGGCAACTAGGTGGGGGTCATCCAATTGCCGTGCGAAATAGATGTGGAAGTCACAGGTGGAGCACAATATGAGGATGTCTCCGAATGATGCAGCGACTTACTGCTATCTTTCTGAAAAGAAAATGCCAACACAAGCTTTGAAACGCAAACGTGATTGAAGCAACAGCAGAGCGAAAGCAGACAGCATTCGATGGTGGGGGCCAGCGGCGCACCTTCCCCAGGTAGTGCATGAGCGTCATCTTGTTGTTGACGGCCCGCACGTCCCCCAGCTTGGACAAGCTGTCCAGCTTGAACGCCTTGGCGCCCCCGCGCGCCGTCCCCTGGTTGATGATGTTCCCCAGCTCCAGCACCTGACGCATCACGCGCGTCAGCGTCTCCGACTCGCGGACCTGCAGGTGTGGGAGAGAGATGAGCAAACTCGAGGACGGAAGACATTTTCGGGTAAAAGACCAAAATACCCCTTTCCCCTGCACTAATAAGAGCGAAAATGCTTCAGCGTCTCCGATTCACGGACCTGCATGCAGCGAGGAGCGGGTTTGAGTAAGTAGAGGACGATCGGATTGTCGGTATACGGGGAGGACAAGCTCCTTCCTCGTAAATAATATAGAGTGAAACGAAGACGGCCAAGCTTTCTGAGGGGATGGGTCGAGCCGAGTTTGCCAAGTGCTTACGGAAAAGCGGCCTTTGGGTGCTAATGCTTTCTAAAGAAAAAGTCAGGTCTGCCACGCCCGAAAAGGTCGAGAAAGTGCCAGCAGCGAGATACAATTCGACTATGGATCACATTCCACGCCACAAAATCGCTTGATTCCAACCACTTGATGACAGACAACAGGTGCATCCCAGGGCAAACTTGAGAACGTACGACAACGGCATACTCAGACCGGTTTCATCAAGGCTTGGCCTCTTCTGCGGGAAACCCACCTCCTTTGCTGCGCTGATGATGAGCGTGAGCGTCTTCTTGAGCTCCTCCACCTGGGCGTTGAACTCAATCTTGAAGCTGAAAACGCGCAGCTTGGCTTCGATACGGGGCACGCTCATGAGCTCCAAAAAGAACTGCGCAAATCGAGGGAGCAGTGTCAGCGTCGCAAGTCTTGAGCGGCAAATCGGAATTCTCCCTACTGCTTCGCCTTCCCTGTTCTCTCGAAAGATGACTCTGTAACCTGCTCAATTTGAAGAAAGTACGTGTAAAAGCTCAACCATTTGGTCGAACGAAACCCTGAGAAAGGTATCTGATTGAGTACCGCTAAGGGAAGCTTCATAAACAAACGTGACTGTCACGGCCGCTGAAGGACGGGCGCAGCCAAAGGCAGAAAGGCCCCCGACGATGCGCTAGACTCCCGAGCTCACGGAAGATTTGGCTGGCCGCTTCCGTGGCTTATACAACGCCATGAATGATTTGATTTGTTTGCTGGTGGTCACACAGAAGGGGCCCTACCTGTTCGCACTTCCCCAGCAGGCTTTTGTCCCCGTCATAAGCCCTGAGCGTGTCCGCTTCCTCCTTGGTGGGGCAGAACTTGATCAGGTTCTCGACCGTGTCCGTATCCAGCGACTTGTCGTCCAGCCTTAGGATGGCAGCCTGTAGCAATGAGTGTCAACAGGCTCAGTTGACGCATATCTCAGCAACTGTTGCGTCAGACACTCAGGAATGAAGCATGTCTATTGCAGAGTAGGAGGACAAATAGGGTCAAATCATGAGGACGAAATGATCCTTGCAAATGCTCGTCGATTTTGCTCCTGACGTGGTTGTTCGACAGCATCAGATGCAGTAGTTTCTGCAGCAGACCGTGAGAAGCATGGAAGAGTCGGTTGCAACGAAATGAACACTTTCAACGGCGGCTTGCACGATCACAAAGAAGTGGGTCTGCGGAAGCGTGTGGGATTCCTTTTCAAAGACGCCAGCCACTTACGAGCATTTCGGGCAGCGGCATCTTGACTTTCGTAAGCATGATCTCGCAATTGTTCGCCCTCCGCAAGTCAATCTGCACAGAAACAAATTGATCAGGGAAGCAGCTGACTTGCTGAGACGGCTCTAACTTTGAGCCTCAGTGGTCCGGTACAAGAGTCTATTTGAAATAATCAAATGACCAACGCCCAAAGAAATGACAAGTCCCTCAGTCCCGATTTGGACCACTCTGAGACAGCCAAGCTAGATACACGAGTTCTTGCGAACGCAAGATGTTTGCCCTCTCGTTGCAGCTCCCAACTCACGAGATTGACCCTCTGCGGCTTGGCCTCCACCCCCTTCCGCTCGGCCGCCGCCGCGGGCTTAGCCGGCGCCGCCATCGCAAACAGCGACTGCAGTTCGTCCACGTCGATCTCCGGCCGCTGCTCGTCTTCCTGCGCGGCAGCCCAGAGGGATCCCTCCATCGGCCGCACGATCTTCTGCCAGTGGAGGGGTTTCAGGGGCTTCGCGGGCTTTTCTGGCACGACAGGGCGAACCATGGGAGGGCGGAGTGCACCCCCTGGAGGGGGTGGGGGAGCGCCCCGACCTCTGCCGCCCGGTGGAGGGGGGGCCCGGGGGCCGCCTCTGCCGCCGGGGGGTGGGGGAGGAGGGCGCGGGCCGCCTCTGCCGCCTGCACAGAGAATCGCGTCTTGTTCGTATGCTACTCTTAGGCTTGGAAAAGCGTACAAGAAAAGAGGCGCCTCGTGAACGGTGGGAGTGCAAGCAGTAAGAACCTCCCTGCAGGCCGAACAATTCTCATGAAGTCAAGGTCGGAAGCAGACAAAGACGAACAACGCGCACGAAGAGTGCACACGTTTCTTACCGGGTGGTGGCGGAGGAGGAGGTGGGCCGCCTCGACCGCCTGCAAGACCCGAGCACACTAGCGTCACGTGGTGCTTGCTAGATTCACACTGGTCGAGGTACACGAACCAAGTCCTCCAAACATGCCCCTGAGGACTAAGCAGGCCAAGACTCAAATTTAAAGCCAAGAAAGGGAAGCCTGCCTGCGAATGCTGCAACCCTCACAAAGCGGGTTGGATGGCGCTTTGATCCAATCAGCAGGGGTCTACTTGAACGTCAGGTTTACCTGGTGGAGGAGGGGGTGGAGGCGGGCCTCCTCGTCCCCCCGGTGGTGGCGGCGGTGGTGGCGGTCCTCCTCGACCCCCCGGGGGGCGGGGGCGGCGGTGGGGGCCCACCTCCTCTGCCTCGGGGGGGAGGCGGCAGAGGCGGACCGCCACTTGCTCTTCCAGGGGGGGGCAGGGAGGGGGCGGCGGACCCCCACGGGCTGCTCCAGGAGGCGGGGGGGTGGAGGCGGAGGTGCGGGGGGCCGCCAGGAGCGGAGGGGCGGGGTGGGGAGGTGGGGGTGTGGAGGACCCCGGAGAAGAGGCGGAGGGGGAGGGGGGGAGGCGGCGGAGGCGGACGGTGGTCGG